GCACATCCATGTTATCCTGAGGGCACATAGGCAGGCTCGGGTCTCCGAGAGCTCGGGGATCGGAAGTCGGGCGTCAGAGTAGAATCAGCAAATGCCCTTAAACGCGCCGACTCTGCTGAGGACATTCAAGGACACATCAATCATCAAAGAGCCTTGTAGCATTCTTTTGAACTTTGGAAGGGCTCCTAGATGGATTCCCGTCGAAAGTAGGAGCAACATATCGCCTCACACCTCCGTAGTGACAAAACATCTCTGGCTCTGTCAAGGATCCACGGAGCAAAGCTGCTCACCTTCCCTGCAGGTCTTGGGGCAGCTGTCGAGGAGGTCAGTACAAAACTCCTGGTTGCCGGCACCAAGGCACCTGTCACATCGAGTTTGGCCAGAATCTTGCTATCTGCAGCCCTCTTACCATCACTGCTACTCTCACCATCACCGCTACTTGTGGTTTTACTGCACCACGCCCACTCCTGCACCACTCACTGCTACTACTCCGCAATGTTCTTGATACTAGCTACTGGCAATGACACTACAACTCGCGCGAACAACCTTTACCACGACTGATGTGGAACTGCCGCTACGAAGAACCACCTGTATGGCAGGCATTACACATATGAATTTTGCTGCATGCTTGAGTCCTTACGAACCTTCCAGCCAGCACTACGACCTAGGATCTTTACGGCAGCAGCGACCTCAGATGAATTCCAATAAGGGCCAGGTGGCTTCTGCGCCGAGGCATTCTCACAGAGGACCGGGCAAGAGCCAGCCACCGTGGCCGCGCAAATCTCTGAGAGGTACCTGGATCGCAGTTCGGCCCTTCTGATCCCCGTAAGACCTCTGAGCTACACAACTTGCAGAGAGCTGGGCCCCGATATCAAAGCCTTGAAAGGGCTCTTAAGGGTGGTTCAAGGGTTTGGGCGTTTTCTTTTGGGCGGGGGGGGGGGGGGGGGGGGCCTGCATGGGTGGAGGTTTCCAGGGAAAACGTGCCAAGGGGCATCCTTCCCTGCTGGAAGGACACCATGGGGCAGAGCTGATGGCCCTCAGGGCAGGGGGTGGCCGGCGGACAGCTGTCATACCACTCCTGGGCACTTCTTGGTGTTAAGGGGGATTTTAGGGTTTCGGGATTCGGGGTAAGGGCTCAGGGTTGCGGGTTTTGGGCTCGGTGGCGCTGGCTCTGGGTTGGCCTGGGGCCGTAAGATTCCTTTCGGTATTCTTCCTTCGCTGACGCGACGTCGGCAACCTAAACCCGCAACCTCCCCAACCCTCACTTGACATAATAAGTACGCTATAGGAGAAGATAACATGATATAATGTACGTACTCAATTCGCCTCGGCTTCCTGCCGAGAAGCGCCTGGAACAAGCAGACCCGGATCGGGTCTCCTTCCCCCTAACCCAACCCTTCCCCCTTCTGACGCCACCCCCCCCCCTTTGAGACCCCCCCCAATCGCTTGGAGGAGCTGCAAACCGATGCCGTGGAGGGTCCCGCCAGTCGGTGGCTCCTACACAGAAAGCCTCAAAACCCGCCCCCCACCCCTCCCCCAGTGTGCTCCCGTGCAGAAGAACGCGGGTGCCACGTGGTCTCATAGAAGCTTAGCGCTTTAGAGAAGTAAAACGCTATGAGTGACGTGCCAAGTTTCCGCGCTGCCGAACAGCTAACTCATCTCTTGAGCTGGTTTAGTTTAGGTTGCTGAAAAGCATGATTTGTGGGGCCAGGTTTGCAAGCCGGATTCCCGTCCCCCCTCCCCCCCCTCCCCCCTCCCCCCCCCCCCCCTCCCCCCCCTCTCCCCCCTCCCCCCCCTCCCCCCCCCCTCCCCCCCCCTCCCCCCCCCCCCCTCCCCCCCCCTCCCCCCTCCCCCCTCCCCCCTCCCCCCCCTCCCCCCTCCCCCCCCCCTCCCCCCCCCCCCTCCCCCCTCCCCCCTCCCCCCTCCCCCCTCCCCCCTCCCCCCCCACCCCCCCCCCACCCCCCCCTTAACCCCGCTGGCTTTTTTTTTTGTGCGAAACCCTCTCCTTTCCTGTCCTGGGGCCGGCCCGGCTGCCGAGGCGGCGCGCGCAAGCGTTTACAATTATGTATACATGTATGATATACCATATAACTCATAGAATGTGTATATGTATATATATATATACATACACTGCACATTTTTTTGCCAGCCCTAAAGCCCGCGTCATTGAACACATTCCTCCGACAAAGCCCTCAAGAAATCAAACCCCCCCCCCCCCCCCCCCCCGACCCCTGAAACCAGTCGACCCTGACATGGATTGGGGTAAAGGTTTGGGGAAAAGATGCCCAGCAGCCATCGGAAAACACTCCGTCGAATTCGTCTCCTGGTCATGTTGCACAGGCCAGGGGTTGCGGCTTGAGGTTCTGGGTTCGGGGCTGCTCGCCGCTCGCGGGTCCCAAGCGTACCCCGAAGCCCCCGAAACAAGAAAGTCCAAACCCTGAACCCTCGCCCAACCCGACCAAAACGGGCTCAGAGACTCCGTAAACCTGAAACCCTGAACCCTACTGCCTTGTTGAAGCGGACTCCGAGCCAGAGAAGCCCCCGACGGAAGAATCTACACATCCAAGCTGGGGCTGCTTCTAGGGTTTAGGGTTTAGGGTTTAGGGTTTACGGTTTAGGGTTTAGGGTTTAGGGTTTAGGGTTTAGGGTTTAGGGTTTAGGGTTTAGGGTTTAGGGTTTAGGGTTTAGGGTTTCGACGTTAAAGTCTAGGGTTTAGTTTAGGGTGGTCTCTGGAACTAGGGAAACGCCAAGAAAACGACGAAACGAACGGTCCTCATTCCAGCACTCGTGCTCATTGCTCTCACATCTGCCCGCGGGAATCAAGCGTTCAGTCGCCAAGCTGCTCAAGCGTTCTAGCTTTACTGCACAATCAGCTACCACCGCAGTTATGCATCAACTGCCGGCCCTTCTTCAAACCTCCTATTGCTTCCACACCACTGTATGGGATAACATACTTAGTGCAAGTCCCTGCTGCCCCACCCAATCCAGTTCGCGCATGGGAGACATGCACGAAATGAGCATTGCCACGTCGAGTTAAGATCAGCAAGAAGGAACTGAAAAGGACATGTCTGAACGTATTGCCTGGACGTTGAGACGGATGCCGACGACGAGGACGTCACTGCGGGGCCTGCTTGATATATAAGGTACTGGGACTCCTCCGCAACAACCAAAAACTTACCGATTTCGTAAAGTCGAGGTTCCTGTTGTTGAGGTGGAGGAGATTGCACTTGTCGCGACAGAATCCAACCTCCAAAAGGAATCCACAGTGCCGTTGTCGGCAACCCCTCCAAACACGTAGAGCTTCTCGTCTGCAGGGTTCCACGCCGTCGCGTGCCCATGGCGGCCATCCGGACCACTGATTGTGTACTCACTCCAGCTGTTGCTAGCCTAGGACACACGATAACCCAGGAACAACAAGGATCCGCCTGTTTGTTCAGCAGCTCTACTGTAGCCAGCGACGAAATTATAGGAACCCAACTCAAAAGTCTGGGGCCTTTTTAGTTGGGGGCCCAACGAAGCCCTCGAAACGCCCCTAAACAACATAACTATCATATCCTAAATCCCAAACCCCGAACCCTAAACCGTAAACCCCCCAAGCCCGAAAACCCTAAACCCAAAACCTTAAACCCAAAAACCCTAAACCCTAAAACCCTGCGTCAACTCTGGACAGCGGCGTTCGCGTAGAGGAAGATGGAGTCCAGGTTGCCAAAAGGCCCTTGGCCGCTTCCGCCATATCCCACCTGAGGATCCCAAAGTGGGGTTGTACAGTCTAGGGTTTAAGGTTTAGGGTTTGGGGTTTGGGGTTTAGGGTTTGGGGTTTAGGGTTTGGGGTTTGGGGTTTGGGGTTTAGAATTTCCTGTGATATGGCGCAGATGCTGTGAGGGTTAAGATGCACAAGAGGCTCGACAGCTTCGTCAGGTGCGAAGAGCAGCTCTGGCCCGATTGTGGAGGGCCATCTAACCCCTTTCTCCCACCCTACGACGTCCCAGCGGCAAAGTGTTCAGGGTTTAGGATGTATGGTGTTAATCGTATTCCCCCTGCGCACTGACACGCCTGGAGTGGTCGTCTTCTTCTTTGGGGGATAGACAGGTGCGCAAGGTGCGCAAGGAGGGAAGCAGAGTACGTGGGACCAAAGCAGACGCGCAATAAGAACCGAACCGAGCAGCAAAAAAGAGATTCACAATGACATCCCAGACAAAACTCCTAAAAACCCATGAAACTTGCCGACCCTCCGGTGCCAGTGGATAGATTTACAGAAATCACTGACGTTGCCCACGCATCAATGTATACAGACAGAACACTCACTACCTCATGTTTGCGTCCTTTGGGCACTGCGAAGTATAGAAGCACAGCAACTGTTGGAAATCACCAGGGCACCAACAAGCCCGTTGTGGGATTCCAGGCCAGCGAGGGCTCGATCCGCTGGGTAAAGTTTCCAGATTGCACCAGCTCAGTCCATCCAGTCTCTGGAGAATAGCTCCATAAGTCCTGGGTTCACGATGCAGAAAGACCTTGATACGGTCTACAGGGGGGTTTAGACTGGGCTACATGTTGCGCATACGCCCCTTAACGATTCGCTCTCTGTGCTTGGGATTTCTGGGTCTACTCGAACAAGAGTCGTTGTTGGTGATGTCGGTTGTGTCGGTGTAAGCCTTGTAGGATTGTCCACCGCGCCCACAGCACATCAGCATCACATGGCGCGAAGAGTCCCACACCTAGGCGAAGTCATATCGGAGATGTTGGGCCCTCTTTGCGGAAAACAAACACAACTATGCAACTATCTGCTGCTAGCATAAACACAACCCTGCACAGCCGGTATCAACAGCTAAGGCACCGCAGCATGCCCGAAACGTGCTGACGGCCTAGAGCCAGACATGTTCGGAGTCGTCCAAGAGTCAGAGCTCGGATCATACCTCTGCATTCCAAGCACAAACAAGGAGACCCTCTCGGTTCGGGTTTGGCGAGATGGGCCCTGCTTTGACAGAAGAAGTAAACGGATACTACGGGAAGCCCAGAGACATCTGCACGTCATCCAACTTGATTCCGGAAGCATCAACGCCGCCAAAGACTATCATGCGCTTTGCTCTGCTGTCCCACACGGCTGAGTGCCTGGACATACTCTGCAGTACCAACAACACGCCTATGCGAAACAAGAGTTTGGGGCTCACCATCGTTTCGTCAATTGCCTCGATCGCTCGGTGGCTGCCGCAGTCAGCTCTGTCCATGTGTCGGTAGCCAAGTCATAGCTAAACAGGTCATTGAAACTAGTCTCAGGGGAGTGTATGGTTATGCTGACGTTCTGCCCGCCGAAGACATACATCCTCCTGGCATCTGGATCTAGCACTGCAGCATGTCCAATGCGCGCCGCCGGCGCCCCAAGCTTCGATTTCGTGGTCCATACGTTCTGAGTCGCGCTGTAAAAGTACCTGACAATTCTGTTAGAGTTGATTGCATGGAGACACTGCACGGAATACGACACATTATATGCGACCGGCTACAGTTGTTCAATTTACCCTGCCCTAAAAGACTTTACAGCCTACGTCCTGGACACTGCGCAACAGAACAAAAACCTTGAACTATTCTCCGTAAACCCTATATAAACCTTAAACACAAACACCTGCGCGGCCCAGGGCCGAGTGGCCTGACGTGGAGGGGTTCAAGAGCCGATTGCACGGAGGTTGGTTGCTTAGGGGCTTGGGGGAAAAGGGTTCGAGGATTTGGGGCTTAGGGCAGTTTACGGCGTTTCCGCTCCTTTTCTGAGTTTAGGCCTAGGTCCCCGATCCCGGCAAGACTGAGGTGCAGGTCATCACGGTAATCCCAGAAGGGCTCGACGCCAGCCACAGGTCCCTGTCCGACGCCCCCAAACAAGAAAATCCCTTCGTCCACGGCGTCCCAGACCATCGTCATCCTGCAAGATCGTGGATCTCAGGGCGAGGGCTTCTTTGAGTACAGCACCTTTGCTAAGCCTTTGCGAGCTTCATGGCGGGACAAGACTGAAGTCTCCACATAGATGCCTTATGAGACACTGGGTTGCTGGTGTGCTAGTTTCATACAGACTCCTCCCAGGCTAAACCCTCAACCCTAAACCTTGAAGCGACCATCAAGAAAGCCTGATCCAAAACTCACTGTTGTGGTGGTAAACATAAAGCCTCTAAGCCCAAGCCCCCAAAGACCTAGATCTCAACTCTCATTGCACAGTAGTTTAGGTTTAGGGTTGAGGGTTCAGGATTGAGGGTTTAATTAGGCGGCTAGGGGTTTAGGGCTTGAGAATTCGGGTTAGGAATTAGGGTTTGGGGAGTAGGGTTTAGGGTTTAGGGTTTAGGCGGTTTAGGTACAGCGCACTAGGCAGATTGCAGGTGGGATCCTTTGGGCGCGTGCATGCATGGAGACCAGTGGGCACGGCACAGAAGGAGTGATTTCTCTAGATTCTCTTCGGGTTCGCCCCCACACTAACAGTCCTTTGATCGGGATTCAAGTACCCCCTGATAAAACAGTCATTAGGGACTGTTAATATAAGGGGGGCACATGCCAGGATTCTTTTATTGAAGCTAAGACTCCGCTTAGAACCGGATTGTTTTGATGTATTCTCTTCGGCTGCTTGCACAAACAACAACAGGCCTCCATTCCTAAGCAAACTACAGAAACCTGATTGGAGTCCTCCTTGTATTGTCTAAACCCTAAATCCTAAGCCCTGAATCCTCAGCCTTAAGCCCGAAACCCTAGACCCTAAACCCTAAACCCTAAACCCTAAACCCTAAACCCTAGCCCTCATCCCTCTCAAATCCTAAGACCCCTCAACCCCAAACCTCCAAGCAACCCAGGGCTCAAGCCTGCTGAGCCTTCGTGGACCGACTCCAGTGGGGGAAAGCTGGGTCCAACCAGCCATCGCCAGTCTGGACAGGGCTTCGGCTCTTGGGGGATCCTTCTTCAGGTGTTGTTGGGGTTTTTAAAAAAGGTTTCTTGAGTTTGTTGGGTGTTTTTGTGGGGGTTTGGATGCTTAAGGGCTTGAAAGTTTAAGGGCTTAGGGGATTTGAATTTCCTAGGGTTCTAGACTTTCAGGGCTGTGGGGTTTGGGGTTTTAAGATTTAAGGCTTAGGGTTCTAGGGTTTCAGGGTTTTGGGGCTTGGGGGGGTTCTCGGGTTCAGGAAGGCTCGGGATTGGCAAGCAGGCTCAAGAGTGTCGGGCAAGATTTACGCCGGCGGGGTTTGGGGCTGTCACGCTTGCAGATTGAGTTTAAAGCTTTCAAGACAGCTTGCACGGCTTCATTGACTCTGCCTTGTTATGAACACGCAGCCCTCCACCTTCAACCCTGAGGAGCCTGATTGATTGCAGACAGACCCAGACTGGGCCAGGGCGCCAGGCCATGGCCGAAGAAATTCTTCACGTTGAGGGACGCAGATTGGGTTAGATGACTGGGCAATCTTCATTTGGGTTCCTGAACAACGACCAGAGTCCAGGGCTTCCAGGGCATTCCGAGGCAAATGTGCTAAAGCCCTGATCTGCCGGTGAAGTTTTGGCATGCGACGTGACTCAAGAAGAAGAATGGAAAACACGTCTCAGAGCCAATGCTCTAAACAGCATAGGCTGCATCAGGGACCACATTGCTGACAAGGGCATTGTTACTTCAATAGACCCGCCCCTAAAGCCTCGAACGAAGTTTGTGCAAACGCACTCATTCAACCTTGCATAACAAAAACATGGACACGGAATCTTGTCCCAAAGGTCCATGCCAAAACTGGCACACTGCTGTGCAAGCTTCTTCCTTCTCATGAAACAAAGGAAGCCGAGCTGCTCCTTATTTGCCGCAGCATGCACCTCGTTGGGTTTCCCGCCCAGGCAAATCATTTTCAAGCGCAGCGAGGCAGTAAAACTCGCTGGGTGGGAGCACTGAAAGGCTTGCGGATGCCTCTGTGCTTGGCTATGAATTTAGTTTGCTCAAGCAAGCGTTTGCTACGTGCTGTCCCCTTCTTTCCAAGGTCAGTTTGTTCAAGCATGGACAAGTGCAGTCGCACTTCTGAAGTGCAGTCGTAGCTAATTGCGTAAGCGCAAGAAGTGAACCAGATCTTGAAGGTACTGTGCCGATGCTGCATGCGACCCAGCATGTCCCACGCAACACACAACAAACAGCGAACTCACCGACGAGCAGCAGGCACGAAATCGGATCCACACCGCATTTTTCGCAGGTGTCTTAACACACTTACGACTCACAACCAAACTTACCCACAATCAGATGTTTGCATCGTCAGCTAGACCAATGATGCACGGGTGACAGTCACACGGTCCTATCGTGTGTGAACGAAGAACATCCTTCCAACGCACCCAATCCGTCCAAATGCCTCCTGGACGGAGCTGATAACTGCACCAGATTTCGTTTCGCAACAAAATTGGGTTGTTAAGGTCTCTAGGGTTGGGCGTTGCTATGTCTGATTCGTTCCTTGTTTTCGACCACTGTCTCCTACATTGTATTTGTCCTTCGTGTCTGTTGTGGTCTCCTACTTCGTTTTTTGCTTCGGGTGGGTTCCTTCGTTTTGGCTGGGCTTGTCTCCTTATTCTCTTTTTGCTTGACCCTAATCTTTTTTTTCATTCAAACATTTGTCTAATCTTTGACGTTTCTTCAATTTCGGGTAATCGATAATCTTAACTATTGGCTCGGTAAGTTGTTTCGTGTTTTACTGCCTTTAAAGTTCAAATTTGATAGGTCGTTCATAGAATTGCCGAACATAAAGTCTAGTCTGAGCCATACTTGGGTTCAGACATTGTTTAAGTTTGGGATATTCCTGGGGTTTTCGGGCATGTTACGGCTGTTCGCTTAGTGCTTCAATATTGCAATATGTTTCGTACTTTTAACATGTCTTGATATGTCAAATCGCGATGACAAACAAAACAAAACTCCATATTTCCTCCCGTCTTTCTTTTGTTTTACTTCGTAAATCATCTCGCTTTTCTTCATAGTCGATGTTTTCCCTTTGACTTCGTGGTTATTTAGGTTTTTCTTTGTACCTTCTTGGAACATCTGTACAAACAATACATAGTTTTCTCCATTCTTTAAGATAATGTTTGCCCTTGTACTTCACATTTGAGACAGTGATTTGTACAGTCATCCATTCTACTGTTTCTGTTACTATGCGTATGTCTTTAAGTGTCGAACACGGAGTTTGCACCATTTCATGAAATATCCAAGATGTATTGTCAACCATATTGCTGTATGAAAATTGTTGCGGTTGTTCTTATTCAGATTCAATAGGGTCAAATTGTCTATCAATGCATCTTTTTTTTGACTTCTGTCAACATAGCTAACAATCATCTTACACAGCAGTTCTTTATTTGGGTATTTAGCCATTATACAAATAACTACACGATAACAACGAAATATTACCATGACCTACAATACCTTTTGCCCATCGCTCAACCCAGAAAATGTAAGAGTGTCTTCAACAGTATCGAAAACCTGGCCATTATGAACGAATGCAAACCCGTTTTATCCTCATCTGCTTGGTTTGTCTAGGGTAAAAGCCTGTCTTGACAATCTAATCTGCGGCGTACATACAAGATCTTACCAACATCCCCGGACAGTGGCTCTGAATCCTTTGCCGGCAATTCGTTCCGGTGCTTGTCTAGTTTCACAGGCGTGCCGAAGGCTTCGGGTGCTCAATTCGCTTGACAAGGTTCATCACCCAACCAGATTCGGTGACGTCATTTCAACATGCACTGCACTCATGAGATGAGCGACGATCCCTCACAGAAGAAACTTCGTTTGGCCTGGTAGCTCCTAGGATTGTACTTTCTGTCCCGCCCGTCCCAAAACCTTGTGCCGAGACGTGGGCGCTGCTCAAGTGCTGTGGCTTCACATGCCATGTGGCTTTCAACACATGCCCAGCAAACTGAAAGAACAGGCTTCGCAAAAACTCTAAATGGTGACGTACACAGACCAATCTTCCATCACATCCGTCACCCGTGTCATGCATCCTCCAGTCTTCATGTCGAACCATGCGCAGAAGTCCAGAAAACACAGCCTGTGACGTTCAAGAGCTTTTTCCTCCGAACGCAATCAAACAGCGAGAATTGGTGCTGCTGTCGCGATTTTCCTTTAATTGATGCAGATGGAAGCATGAACTTCAAAGAACGAGGGGATGTCTTTGTGCCCTTTCCAAGGCTCCATCTCCTCCAAACCGTAAGGAACTGCGGCAAGTGTTTGCGAGCTCTTGGTTTTGGGCGAATGGGAAGGGCATCCCTCGCGTTGCATCACATCGGATGTGCAAGTACATGGGAGCTGTAGTCTGTATTCTAGACTCTCCAAATCGGAACCCTCTATGCTTCCCTTTTACAAACCCTCGCAGGGAACTCAGACTACAGCTCCTTGGTCCTGGGGCGCAGTGCTGCGTTTCCAGGACACCCTGTCTGTGCAGGATAGGTCGGTCTAAGCTTTGTAGACCTTCCCGCTTAGGTTCAAAGGAGCTCTGGGTACATTATTCAGATCCCAAGAGTCAACCTTCCATTGTTTTCTTAGTAGGCTCCTCTTGCAATCCTCATATATCTATAACATCCATGTAACCCCAATTTTGTCAGGGGCCACCGTCGTTTACATAGAGTAGGAGCTGAGCGGGTCTGGTAGATCGGCGGTGCTGCGTCCTGGGTCCGGAAGGGCAGCATACTGTCATGTAGGGGCTGCATCAAACAGACTGTCAGGACTAAACTGCCTGGACCATATGTCCAGCTTGCAGATTTCCTGCCTGGTGTCCCTGAAGGGCAATTAAGGTGACTATCACCTTCAATGGGTCTAGACTTAGGAGACAGACCTACGCAAGCAGTGTTGCCAGTTCTAAGTAATGCAACAACTCATGATAGCCCATTCAGACACTTGCAAGCAAGCAAAGGTCCTTCAGCGTGATCGCTGGTGCGTGATCTCGTACGGCCTGGTTTTGGACACAGACAGCCGATTCCCAACCTAAGCCCCAGCATGGATCATTCTGTCCATCGAGGCTGCGCTTGTTTGGAATATACCTTAAATACGTTAACTTTTCATGATAGGGCTGTATAACCAATAGTCATTTCCCCACCATGTTCACTCAGCTTAGGTTTCTTCACAACGACAGACAGCAATCCGGCCATACAATCGCTGGAATTTCGCGCAGGTCGTACATGCGATGAGGGCACTGAGGGAAAGAATTGCAGACAAAGACGGATAGGGCTAGCTGCCTACAAGCTCACGGATCGTTGATGAAAACATGCCCAGAAAGCTTTGCAGGTCCTCTCTGCCAGGCCCTCACCGCTGGTCAGGATACAGGTGCAAAAGAAACCCGTGCTGAAGTCCGGAGTTCAAGCACGGGTACGTTCGTCTTGAATCTGAGCCTTGTTCCCCTTGGCAAGATAATCAAGATTGTTACTCATTCTCTAGTTCATTGTTGGGACAGGATCAAAAATCATCATGTTTATTTCTTTTGGGTCTAAGTACCCATAAACATGTAGAATGTTACCCAACTATGACCCAGTTCTCGGGGTCCAGCGGAAGGAGGCCTGATGGGCTGCACGCATGCCGGGGTTCCTGCTATCCGTGTTTCCGCCCCAGTCGAGCCCATCGGTTATTCCAGCACCTGGCAGTACAAACAGCATGGCTTAGGGTTTATGGAACTTCCTTCACCTCGAAAGCCTTTGAAGGAGGCTGTTGGCAGGATCCAGCTCTCAAGCCCCAAACTTGACCAGCAGGGCACTGAAATTTGGATTTCTTAGCCCGGCTCTCCCTCAAAGATACACTCCAAAACTGCATGTACGAGACAGCTCCACCTGTGGCTCGTGCTGGAGCCTGGAGCCGGATAAGATGGATTCGGCAAGACGCCAATGTGACAACAACCACTAGATTTGCTGGAGTTCACTGAAAAATGTCACGCTGTGAAATGGAGTGGGCAGCTTGTTGTAGGCAAAAAGGGTCAAGCCTTGGTGAACAGTGGGTGGGGTGCAAGGGAGCACACCAGTTCTGCGGAAAAAAGCACGCGAACAATTGCATGGTCTGGTTCCAGGTGCTGTGGTCACGTGCTTGAGGATCTACTACTGGTACCAGTTCTGGCACCCCAGCCTGCGTGCTGCTGGCACGAGCAACTTCCTGCCCGTCGTCATCGACCGTGGACTCGACAATGCTAAACTTCTGCCGCTTAACCTTGCCATGCATGCGTGACTTTCAGGGGCGCGGCCTCGTGCAGCAATGTTCTCTTGGCCACAAAACTACCATCTTCTTTGCTTGAGTACTGCACGGTTTGTTGAGACTTCTCCGCCAGCTGAACTCACAGACAAACTCGCGCCGATTCCTCGTTTGCAAGAGGACGAACACATCTGCCGACTAGCAACCAACTCGATGTAGTTCCGGACATGCTCCCTGTGGCGGCCTCGGACAAAAGCTTCACGTCTGTGCCAGAACGCTCGCTCTCCTCCTATCAACGCACGCATCACCTGAGGCAACACATCCTGGGCCAAGACGGACCACCATCTTTGCGCTTGCCGCTGATGCAGCTGCGGGGCAAAACGTCCTAAAAATCCTAAATGCATATCTGTCGAAGCTTGGGACCCGGCCGGCGTCTTGGATGGATCTGGGCTAAAGCGGCTAACGTGAAAGCGATCCGGGAAGAGGGGGAGTAGGGTCTAGGGGTGAGCACGCGCCGCTGCAGATCAGCAAAAACCCTCAACGCTACACCCAACGGCCTTCCGGTTGACCTTGGGCCGACAGCAGAGGAAGCCCGTGAAAGGCTAGTTCCTCAAGGCTTAGGATTTAGGACTCAGGGAGGGCGTAGGGTTGAGGGTGTCAGTGTTTAGGGTCGCGAGGGTGAAGGGCTCAGGGTTTCGGATATCCTTCCGGAGGGGCTTAGGATTCAAAATTTAGGGTGCAGAGCGTTGAGTTTTAGGATTCAGGGTTTAGGGTGTAGACCCCCCTCATATTGACTCATAATATGCCCATTGCAGTATTGTCTTACTTATGTTAAGATCACGGGAGGTGGGTGGATGGCATTGCTTGTCAAGCTGGGTGTAGACGGGCCCGGATCCGCTTCTCAAGAAGCACATAAGCATGAGCATTTTAGAGGGATATCCCTACCCTATTGGGCTTCATAATAAGGGGGTTCATATAGGATATCCCGATCCTAATTTTTGCTTGTGTGTGTTTTTTGGTGCCTTCTTCTCGTCCACAGTCTTAGGGTTTAGGGGGCACAAGTTGCATGTAATCTGGAATCCCGATTGATACTCCGGGGGCTCAAATAAAGACAAGCTCTTCGAAACCTATTCAGTAGCCAGGAATGGGTCCAGAAAAGCTTTCCAGACAGGTAAAAAACTGAGAACCTAGCCCTTTGCATGTCCAATGAACTGAACCTAGCCTTTCCCTGATCCATACTCAATATGAACGGGAGAAGCCCTTAGACCCCCGATTCGTTATGTGCCCTCGAAATTATGGAGGCTCCCCATTTTGTTGGAGGGCAGGGAGCAACATTACCCTGCAACACAACCCTAACCCCCGAAACCGTTGAGGCATCAGTTGCCAAGAGACAAAGAACCCTAAACCCTAAATCCTAAAAAGGTGCCTTCAGACAGCCCCAAGCGATCGAGGTTGTAGGTGGCCTCAGAAGTCAAAGCAGGTGGCTCTTGTGAACGTGGGAAACCCTAAACCCTAAACTTGGGTACTGCCCCGACACAGTAAGAGTCCATAATCGGGCTACTATTAAGGACCTTGTACATCTATAGTATGAATAATGGTCGACCGTTACTAGTGGGGGCAGTATCCAACCCTAAACCCTAAACCTACAGTTGCTGGCTCGCTCCATCTCAGCCTGTAGTCTTGAGGATCAAGCAGAGCCCTGTGTGACGGTGGGATCTTCGTCCGGGTCTTCCTTTTCCTCCAGGGCAAGTGATGTAGGAGCCTTAACCGTTGGAATAGGGTTTTGGGGTGTAACATACTATCATGATGATAAGGAACCCCCGAAATAGTACAGGTAATTATTAAGGCCCCTAAATGATCCGAATACGGAGTCTGGCGACAGCTAATGTCCTCTATAACACACGATTTGCTTCAACTCAAGTATCCTGCCCGTACAAGATGACCGTGACACGAAGTACGACGGGCACAATGGCTGACATGGTGGCTACGACCACCAGCACGTCACTGGCGATGTCCTCAACTTGTTCGGGCTTGAGGTCTCAAGACACACTGGGGGAAATGGCAGGCCAATCTGGGGCAGCAGGCACATTGGCCATCAAGAGACTGGCAACGTTCATGGGCTCAAGGCCAGAGCAGGTTCCAGCATGCTTGCTTGCTACCATGGAACGGACCAGCCAGAAATCACGAACACGAGAAACCTCGCGGCAGCCATGCTTCGAAACGCAAGAGCTGTTGATCGCAAACGAGCATTCAGCCGTCGGGCTTTTGTCTCGTGGTGCCTCTTTCCATACACGACATGTGAGCCCTGGACTAAATTACTAGTATCTCCGGACGGAAACTCACACATAATTAGGCCTTTATTAGCATCCCAATATTGTCCCTATACAACGACTTTGGAACTCAAATTTGGTGAGGGGCTTATGTGGAATCTCTAGTACTGCCAAGTGCTCCTTGGCTGGAACTCTGGTGTTGTGTTTGATTGTCAGACGGTACTGTGCTTGGGCTTTACGAGTCTTCCCAGTGGTCCTACGTAAGCTGCTAATACCGGGACAGATTCCAGACTGCAATCCTTGACATTTCCTCACATAGCTGCTGTCTTTCAAAACAACATACGCCGCGTTCCTGCAGATAAAGCCAGATAGAATGTTTGCTATCCCAGCCGCACGTAAATCAGAGCGTGAACAGCAACTTCCTGCAGCGCAAGGCGGGCGGAATTCTGTTAGCTGCTGGCGCCAGGCCAGACACTTAAAATAATATAACAACAATAATAACAATGATAATAATTATTATTATTCCAATAATAATGATACCAATAAGAATAAGAAGAAGAAGAACAATAATAATAACAATAATAATAATGATAACAATAATAATAAGAATAAAAAACAGCAATAATAATAATACTAATACTAATAATAACAATAACAATAACAATAACAACAATAATACTCACAATGATAATGATATTAATAATAACAATGATAATGACAATAATAGCAATAATAGCAATAATAACAATAATAACAATAATAACAATAATAACAATAATAACAATAATAACAATAATAACAATAATAACAATAATAACAATAATAACAATAATAACAATAATAACAATAATAACAATAATAACAATAATGACAATAATAACAATAATAACAATAATAACAACAATAACAACAATAACAATAACAACAATAATAACAATAATAACAATAATTACAATAATCGCAATAAAAACAATAATAAAGATAATAACAATAATAACAATAATAGCAATAATAGCAATAATAACAATAATAACAATAATAACAATAATAACAATAATAATAATAATAATAATATACGTAAAACCACGGATCTGACCCAGAGCGGATCACCTTCCTGTGAAGAACTGCACAGTCATGAAGCGGAAGCGTGTTCTAGCAAGTCTGCTATATGGGTGTTTCTCAAAATGGGAGTACACTGAGAACCCTAGGAACACTTAGGGCGTGAACTACCAAATCTGAAGCTGCACAAGACACATTTCGAAACACGTTAACAGAAACCTAACATCATCTCTTGCAGTTGCATGCCAAGCGATAGCCCCGAGTCACACTGCACACAGACACTAAAATGTTAAATCACTTTTAGCACAGAACACAGAGTGCAACCTCGAAGTCCACAAGCCGGGGCACCCAGTCGTTCAGGAACGCCCAGACATAGGGCTGCAAACTCGCGCCGAGGATTACATACCTGCTTGGGATCCAGCTTGTTATATGAGGTGGACGAGGCATCGGCAGTGGGCTCTACGAGTTTGTTGAGCCTTGGTAGCAAGCAGTCTGTTTACTGACATGTCCTCGGATTAGGTGTGGTACCAAGACGAAATCGCACAAAGGTGCTGCCTTTTGTGGCCCCACTCTCAAAGACTACCAACAGCTGTGAGTTCAGCTACATGCTGTTTCACTCTCTGCACAAGATCACCTAGCACTGTTTCCCAATCCCTTCTGGGGAGCCGGCGCCAGTGTGACGAGGAGGTAAACCAATGGCACCTCTGATTGATCTCGTCGCATCAGCATGGCGTAGATTGTGATCACGAATCCTTGGAATCATACGCTACAAGCAACTCGATACTAAGGTCCCTCTTGAGCTGAAACCATCTTCGGCCTCCCTTGCCGAAGCGTCAACTTTAAAACACCAGCGTTCAGGAAATCGATGCCTGCCCCCAGAACTGGAGGGCTCTCAGGGTGGATCCCAGAACTCACATAGTTGCAGAAAGTGGCTGGCAATGAGGAGGATGACAGTCCAACTGTAAGACAACACTCGCCTTAACTTCAGCAGGCGTGGCAGATGAAAAGTTCTCGAATCGTTTCGCCCTGCGCGTTCATCACAGGAGGCCGCTTAGGTCGCTTCACTGGATCTACAGCATGCAACTTCTGTAGTTTGGCCTTCACCCAGTGTCAAAAACACAAGCTGGAACGTGTCCGGCTGATACTGATATTAGCTGGAATGCTATGAGCAGCTGAGGTCCAGTCCATCGCTGTGGCACTCTCTTCTGAAGACTGCGACTCCGGAACCACACTGTAAGCCCTAACTTTCTGGCGGACAGTAGGGAATATGGGTATATATTATACGCAGATGTCCTTCTTCCCTACTAATTGGAGGCCTCAAAACGTGGGATGGAGCCAGGTAGGATTCAGGATCCCTTGTATACGGGCTCTGATTTTGGGATTACCCCACCTACCTTCGTCCCACCTTTAGAGGCCTCCGAACTAACCCCTAAACCCTAAACCCTAAACGTCCAGCATGCTAAACTCTAAGCCCCAGGCGCTTCGGGCAACGCCGAATTCAGCAAACAAAGTCGAAAACATGGAGGCCGCAGTCGAAAAACGAGGACGTGGAGTCGGAAACATGAGGGCCACTGTCGGAAAACAGCAAGGCAACAATCAAAAAACATGACGGCCGCAGTCGAAAAACAAAAAGCCGCTAGCAGGAAGCCTGAAAGAATATACGCCCGCCTCCGCTGCCCCAGTTAGAAAATTCAGAATTAGAAAAAGCCACAGTCGCAAAACGCAAAAGCCACCATCGGAAGCAAGCAATCCGAAAGGGAAAACGTACGGTCGTTGTAATGCATTGACGCGATGATCCCTTGAGTCTTCAGAGGCTCCCAAATTAGAAAAGTCAGCATTAGAAAAAGCCACGGGTCAGCAAACACGAAGCCGCAGTCAGCAAGCGAACCGCCACAACAAAACACGCCAGGTCAAGTAAGCGCTCCGTAAGCCGCAATTAGAAAAGTCACCATTAGAAAAAGCCACGGGTCAGCAAACACGAAGCCGCAGTCAGCAAGCGAACCGCCACGACAAAACACGCCAGGTCAAGTAAGCGCTCAGTAAGCTGCAATTAGAAAAGCCACCATTAGAAAAAGCCACGGGTCAGCAAACACGAAGCCGCAGTCAGCAAGCGAACCGCCACAACAGAAAACACGCCAGATCAAGTAAGCGCTCCGTAAGCCGCAATTAGAAAAGGATGGCCTATTTTTTGGGGGGTCCTTTTTTTTTTTTTTTGGCGGGGGGGGTCTTTTTTTTGTTGGTCGATTTTCTTGTTTTTCCTAAGAAAACCAGATTTGATGCATTTTCGTGGTTGTTCGTGCGAAAAACCGTAATTCCCTCTGTATTTTCATAGGAAGGCGTTATTTCTTGTAGGTTTTAGAAGAAAAGAAGGAAAGAAAGAAAGAAAGGAAGGAAGGAAGAAAGAAAGGAAGAAAACAAGGAAGGAAGGGAGGAAGGAAGAAAGGAAGGAAGAAAGGAAGGAAGAAAGGAAGGAAGAAAGGAAGGAAGGAAGCAAGGAAGGAAGAAGGGAAGCGTGCTTCAAAGCCCAAGAAACTAGTTGAAAAACATCGTGTGAGCATTGCGTTTGCAAAAGGGGGGGCTGCGCCCCCCCTAACCCCCGCTTTTTTGCTTTTTTTATAAGCCGTGCAAAGCGTGCTTCAAAGCCCAAGAAACTTGTTGACACCCATCATGTGAGCAGGGTGTTTGCAAGTGGGGGGGGGGGGGCTGCGCCTCCCCCAACCCCCCCCGCTTCTTTTGAGCCGCACCAAGCGTGCTTCAAAGCCCAAGAAACTAGTTGAAAAACATCGTGTGAGCATTGTAATGGGGGGGGGGGCTGCGCCCCCCCAACCCCCCCGCTTTTTTTTGCCGTGCAAACGTGCTTCAAAGCCCAAGAAACTTGTTGACACCCATCATGTGAGCAGGGTGTTTGCAAATGCGGGGGGCGGGGCTGCGCCCCCCCCCCCCCCAACCCCCCCCCCCCCCCCCCCCGCTTCTTTCAAGCCGTACCAAGCGTGCTTCAAAAGCCCAAGGAACCATTGTGTGAGCATTGTGTTTGCAAGTGGGAGGGCTGCGCCCCCCAACCCCCCCCCGCTTCTTGTGAGCCGTACCAAGCGTGCTTCAAAGCCCAAGAAACTAGTTGAATTATGCCGGCGAAGACCCCAAACAGTAAGATTGCAGATCAAGGGAAAGCGGCATGAAGCAATAACGCGACACGTAGAATTCGGCAGGCCGAGTTTACAATCAGACAAATTGGGCTCAGTATGGAGGCGTGGGTTTCAGGCTTCTCTTTGCAGCTGCCAGGGGTCGGAACAACCCTTTCCCAATCCAAACGATGGATTGACATGGATGTCCAAGCGCTGCCCACATGCATTTTGCTAAGCCTGAAAAATGCGTTTGGTCTTGCTTTCTACATTTGCAACGCCATGCTCTCTCTTTCTGTACTTTTTCAAAGGCGAAAACAGCTGAGTGCATTTAGGCACGCGCGAAAAATGCAGTTGCGCGTTCGCCTCTTCTGTACGCAGCTTGTCTTTACGACGAAAGATCAGCGGTTAACTCAATTTTATTGTGGTTGTGGAAGGAGCAAGCTGCGCGAATGCATTCTGCCCGCTTTGAAAAATGCACCTGAGCATGTTCTTCCTGATTCTGGGTCTGTTTCGGTACTCCTGCAAAATGTCGAGCATTGTTCTAAACACGTTTTTCAATTCCTACAGCTACTCTTATGCACAGAAAACACGTCAGAAGAATCGAATACGTCATGAGCCAGCAGAAACCAAGACTAGACATGATAGGAGTGCCAAATGCATTCTTCGGGCGACGAAAAATGCATTTGGAATGCCCTAGAAATGCATGTCGGGTAGATGTTGGTCGTAAAACACCAATCTACTTCTGCATCGCTGATCAAGACTTGAGCATCGTTAGCCACGTCGCATTTCATGATGCGCTCGGCTCAGTATTCCTGTGCACGCACGAACATACTTCTGCATCGCTGATCATTTTGCAGCGGTCGTACTCTCATGTCTTCGGCAGAAGTCTTTGCGATCTCGTGAGACATGCGGTGCAAAGCATCAGCTGCATCGCCGATCATACTGAACAGGGATTGAAAGAGAAAGTCAATGCCTCCACCTCCCAAAGTAATGCCTCGGGCGGCGAGGGCGGGAGACTTGAGCATCGTTAGCCACGTCGCATTTCATGATGCGCTCGGCTCAGTATTCCTGTGCACGCACGAACATACTTCTGCATCGCTGATCATTTTGCAGCGGTCGTACTCTCATGTCTTCGGCAGAAGTCTTTGCGATCTCGTGAGACATGCGGTGCAAAGCATCAGCTGCATCGTCGATCATACTGAACAGGGATTGAAAGAGAAAGTCAATGCCTCCACCTCCCAAATCATCCCAAATCAGGATGTGAACCACGTAGATGACGGATCTGTAAGCAAGTAGGGGCTGGCCAAGGCCATGCCGAGGTCTGAGCAGAGCTTGGCCGGGTAGACCTCCGCCACCGACGATCCTTTGGAGCGGCGATGTGGCAGGCCTGTGCATGAGCAGAGGCCTCGTCCTGAGCAGAGTTTACTTTCAAACCTGCGAAGATCAGAACAGTCCAGATTGCCAAAGACAAAACATGTGCGAGCGCGCCATGGTCTGTGATATTGACACAAGTCGATGGCCTGGTAATGAACATGAGGACGCTGGAGGAGCTCCTGCAATTCAGGGAGATGCCACAGCTTACTGCTCCAAGGACCTGCGATGCACCAAGGGAGAGAGAAACGATCAAGCCATGCCACGATGCGCAACGCAGCCCGAATAGTCTCATTACCCTGTTACACTTTTCGACAAACTTGTTCCGACAAAAACTCGCCAGGCATCCCCCATGGATGTGCCTCATGTCGTGTTGCCGCTGTACGATCTCGAGTACTTGAGAAAGAACGGCAAGGAACAGCTAACATGGCACCGAGCACTTCGGAACGGAAGATTGCTCTTCGGAGATTGCGCAGAACTTTCTGCGACGTCAGGTCGTAGTCTTTGCCTTGCCGGGTGTCCCATTCAAAAGATCGAAATCCCAAGCGTCGAAGCGCCCGAGCCATGCCTCCTCTGCCGCTGAACAAGTCGAGGAGGTGGCGCCCTCGAGGCTTCGGCGTCATGGTGGACCAGGTGGGTTCCATTTGCCGAGGATAATATCCCCGAGACGTTCTTCGCACAGCTGGCAGTGCGTCCTCAGCTTTTCTGGAAGCTCGAGGAAGGCAGACGCCAAACGTCCTGACTTCTCGTACCTGAGGACGGACTTGCGACCTTTCCAAGTGCCCCTTCGCTGGACCTCGTGCTGGGTGCGGAGGTTTCTGGCTCGGTCGATGCTCGGGCCGGAGTGGCGCATCTGATACGGGGACAGACTCACACCCAGTGCGGCGGTCACGTCGCTGAACACCTTGACGAACTCGCCGTAGTTGAAATCCCAAAGTGGCGTGGACGCGTGCTGTTTCTTGAGCGCTGCGAAGACGATTGGCCCCCAAGAAAGGAGGTACGGTGAGTCCAAGATCAGTGAGGTGTCGAACTCCCCTGTCTTTGAAGGTTCCCCCAGATGCTCCGGGGAAAGAAGCAGACTCCACTCCTCGAGTGTGTGGCGCACTGGGCTCACTAGCGAGTACACTGTGCACCGAAGCAGCTCGGACGGCCTCGCATAGCTTGAGAGCGCCACCAGGACGAACACAGCCATGCGGGTGAACCCGCGCCTTCGCAGCTCTGCCGCCACCGCGGCCCACACAGCCAGCGGGTACGGTTTTCGACTGCGGCCTGGACACAGACGATGCCATCCCTTGAGACCTCTCCAGGACCTGGGCAGCTTCAGGCTGCCACGCTTGCCATACTCTGGGTTGGCATGCAGGAAACCCGCCAACAACTTGTCTCCTCTGTGCGGTTGCTCCCCCGCCCAGAACATGTCGTTGAGGTACGTCACCATGGCCGCATCCACATCGCTGCTGGTTGCGAGGCTTAGTCGGAGCCGCTTC